TTTGTTCATGAAAATCCGCCATTCCGAAATCGCAGGAGGGTCGGTGTAATGCACTACCAAAACGCCCGTAACTAAGAAACAAATGCTAATTCGATGATGCCGGCTGGCACACTGATTCACTATGAATGTAGGCCGCACCCCCTAGCGGCAGAAGCTCGTACTACATCCGGTTCACCCTCTATTGACACAGTCAGGAAACTTTCCGATCGCACCTCGTACCTCATCCCTTTATCAATATGCCACTCACAATCCTTCAGGGTCTTGTCAGCAAAGCGAAATTTGTGAGGGAATGTCAGAATACTAAATATTAAATAACAATAAATGTGTTGTAGTTGCTGTATAGGGTTTGGAATAGACCATGATTGGAAATCTCAAACATAGAGGATGACCATCATAACATGCTGAAACAAAATAAAAATGTACGCAAGTTCAAGCATGAATTTATAAACTGAGGCAGGAGGTGGAGGGTATGAGTAAGGATTAGCATAAGTGGACCACCATCAAAGTTCTGAACACTTGTTCATGGGCGAGACTCTTAATAAAATAATTACCTTCATCTTGGTAAGAAACCGATCCATCAAGTTGACAGCAACAAACAGCACATCTGAGGGCAAGTCATACCACACCTTCAGGCAGCGTAGGACATGTGCAGATCCATCTCTGATACCCGTGGTGATCTCAGATGGATCCTGTATAGTAAACTAAACCAACAATCTTTCCACCATGTCCACATGCCAGATGTAATCTTAAATAATTTCACCTAGTCTATGGCAATAAATTCACATCTTTAGAATGTAAAGGAAAAATAAAATTCTTCAACAGCCGTGACTGCTATGATGTCACTGTGCCTACACTTAAAGTTATTCAGACTGAGATGTAATAAGTACTGGAAGAGTTATTTACCTCACAACCTCAGGTCAAGCGTGGGTTGGATTTGTTGCTGGTTAGTATTTATCATACACTGGATAGTATGTTTAACATCTTGCATACATGTGACTGTGAAAAATGAGTCTTTGAATTTTGTAGCATACATCAGAAAAGATTTTACTCAGCTCTCAAACAAGCTTTATATCTGTCATATTACATACCACAAGCTTAAGTTATTTTCTTTACCTTCATACTGCATATTTTAATAAACCTTATACCAAAATTATTTAGTCCTATGACAGTTACTGAATACACACAGATCTTGTCAGCATACATCATAATGCACAGTAAAGTCAAGCAAATTTTACAGACATGATGAAAAACCCGATAAAAGCAACAGAGAAAACACTGGGCATTGCTAGGACCCATTTATGGTAGAGACAGCAGATCTGGAGACTCCTGAACAATGTTTCAGAAAGGAAAACACTTATATCAAGTATATATACATACATTTTGTAAGATCTGACACCCCCCCCCCCCCAAAAAAAAAAAAGAAGAAGAAGAAGAAGTTGCATCCAACAGGGTACAATACAACACATCTATTCATTCCTGAAGTATACAATGGATAAAAACAAGTTCTAAGTAACACTGAAAGTCATAATTAGGAACAAAGAGGACCTCTTTCAAATGGAATGTTTGCTTTTCCTTAAACAGTCCAAAAAGTGCAACATTTAGTCCACTTAAACCTGACACAGTAGAGATGTGAACAGCAGGGACAAGGGTAAGAAAATGCTATATTTCCAGAATGGTGCACTGTTGAATAAAAGTGTTTACAAAGAACACAGCATAGTAAAATGTGGTAAATTGGGATAAGGAGTTCTAAAGAAGGGAAAAACACCAATTTCATGGTATCTCACACAAAGTATGATGGCATGACAGCAAAATAAAATTTAAGTTTATAACTCAATAATATCTGGATTGATTAACATGTGGTAATCAACGTAAATGTCATCTGCACCCATAATAAGATAAGCTCAAAAGATATTTACTTTCTCAAGAAGTGTGATCATTTAAATTGTCCAATCTAAACAAAAATTTGATATGATTCAACCACTCTTTGTAAAATTCTCAAAGATCAAATTTCATTAAATTGATTTATCTGTTCTCATGTTACTTCATGCAGAGATAAACATACTGATTTCAATAAACACCTTGCAGGTAGCAAACAGGCCTAAAAAGGCCTCAGCGTAGGTATCTCACCTGGGATACACTAGGGAGCTGTAAATGAGGCTGGAACTTGTTCTCCAGAACTAGTGCCTCATTCAGCTTTGATATTAAGGGGTGGATAGCATCCGGCTGGCCCTGGTCCATTCCTGTGATGTCACTTCACTGGACCCCAGTTACACCTCAAGAATGGCCCAATATGAGGCCTTTTATCTGCAATAGTACAAAATGACAATGTTTCATGTTATTATTAATAACTTTCATTTAGTAAATTTCCATAAAGACCTATGTCTACACACATTCTACAAAAAAATACATTTTTTTTTAACAAATTTTAAGTATTAGCCTCCCAAGAAAGAGTAAGTTAATTAACTAATTTCAATTTCAAAATTGAAATGTAGCTGTTCCAAAAACAATTAACAAATTTATATAATTAGAATGTCAAACCATACTTTCTGAAAACTTGCACTTTCACCCAAGCTTTAAACCCTTGACAGAATACACACAATTTAACAAAATACAATACAACCACCATTTTGAAGTTTGCATTTCATCCAAAAAACATAAAATCATTAAACCTCACAGAACACAACCATTTATAAACAACCACAAAAATATAGAGGATGTAAACTGATTTCAAATATTCAAATACCAATTTAAAGCTTACAAATGATATGCTAACAGACTATAACCAACTAACAGAAAACAAGGAGTAAACACATTGCCTCTTACATAACATGCATTAGATGATGCATTACTTTCCATTCAATAGGCCTTTAGATAATATGTCCTTGGCTATACATCCATACTAACCCCACAGAGCAGATTCCTTCTTCAGGAGCAGTCAGCTGGCCAAAAAATTCCCTTCCTTTTACAAAACCCACAGGTTCATTACTGGTTTTAAACAGCCTGCCAATGGATCCTATCCTGAGCCAGTTGGATCTAGTTCACATCATCACACCCTAATTCCTTAAAACCAAATGCAATATCATGCTATCACCCATGCCTTGGTCTCCCCACGTCTTCACTTCAGTTTTCTGACTAAAATGTTTTATGCACTTATCTCTTTTGTGCATTCTACAAGTTCTGCCCATTTCACCCTCCTTGATTGTATCATCATTGCCAACTTGACTGCCAGGGAAAAGTATAGCCAAGTGAAGTATAGTCATTACCTCACTTTGTTGGGGAACCTAATATTTAGTGTAGAGTATAAAGAATGATATCCTAATAATTAAATTTTCTCCATACCACAGTCACTTCCCCTCTCAGCTCTAGATATTTGCCTCAGCACCCTGCTCTCAAATACAGTTGATCTATGCTCACTACTTAGGATGATACCCATATTAAACATGTTAAATTATAATTAAGTATATATTAATCTGTGGGTTTTTATGTAGGAGATGTAAGGATAAAAGATGCTGAACTTTACTATATATATATATATTCAACTTTCAAACTTCCAGCACAAAAATCTGATCTCTCTTAACTTGAAAAATAAACATTCCTGCCACTAGGTAATAATCACTTTAAGCCTGAATTTTATAAATGTTGGCTGGTTCCCGAAATGTTATTGGATTTGGTCATCCCTGCTCCAATTTATGGCTTGGTTTTCCAACCTATCTGTTAGGTTTTCCACTGTAAAATTAGCTAGCAGAATCACATAATAAGGGAATTAGAAGACAGAGGGAATGAAAAAGGGAAGTTCATGAGTCATTTTGTAAAGAAATAATGGAAATGCCAAGCACAGCAGCAAATGCAATGTGAAAGAACTGAGAAGAACAAACAGGAAGGAGAAAGTGGTGGAGAGAGTCCTCTGATATTGGAAAAGATTGCGGATGAGATAAGTCTATTGGGGAGCGCATTAGGAAACAAAATTATACATAGAAGTATGTACTAAGGTGGCAAGACGAGGTATAAGGTGGTGGAAAATGAGTATTTAAGACTGAAGAGTGTTAGGGGAAATCATGAGCAGCAGATGTGCCCTATGTGCAAACAAAAAGGAAGTCTAGTCATATACTGAGATGTGAGGAAACTAGAAGTTGGAGTCAGGAATTTGTAGACAAATATTGACCCAAAATTGGAATTAGCAGAAACAATGTCAAATTGTAGAAAATAGGACTACAAGCATATATAAAGCAAAATGGATATGGTCAGTGAGGAAATATGAGGAGGAATAAATCATAAACTAGGGGATAGCAAAGATGAGACAGATTGGTATAGTTTCAAATGGAAATAGAGAATGTAAAAAGAATGTTAAGATAAATATATACAGTAGACAAAGGACCTGGGAGTCATGTCTAACACTGTATATACAGTAACCAAAAGATGTAATAAATGGTCAATATTAGTGTCATTTATAATAAAACTTACTTTGTACGTTCGTTGAATATTCTCGGTTATAGCATGGAACTAGGAGGCAATGTTTAGGTATCCACAATGCAATGAATCTCACAACCTGATAGTGCAATAGACAGCAAAAGTATCCATATCACAGAGAATACCAAAATATGCTCACCCGGATGCGTCCAAGGAGCTAATTTCCCACTAATCAGCCAATTTTGGAAAGCACGTCTCTAACTGCGCTGCTTTCAAGCAAGTTTAAAATTGACAGTTGACAATAATATGGCGTCCTGTGTTTTCTTAGGCTCAGCTGATTATATTGTTCCAAAGATTGTTCATGCGCGTAAAATATAGTTCTATTTATATTACTGAATTATACAATATAAAATTATCATATATGAGAGAAACAACCAATATTACGTAAATACGTTAATTTGACATACACATAAATAAGTATACTTGCATTATTCGAGCATATAGGGAATAGAAACAAAGCGGTGAACTATTTTCGTACCATTGTACAGTGTTGTCACGTTTTAAAATTAGCTTAAGATGAACTAATGTTGTGCATTTGTACTTGTAAAACATAAAATGGCAATTCTACTGAATTAGGAAGGTGTATTTTAAATATTCAGATTATGTTTTTCATCTCGATTTATTTTGTCAACATTTATGTAATTATTCCAATTCGGCTAAACCGTATTTTCAAATGCAAAGTAACTCTTACTCATTGGCTGGCTCAAGGTGTACTCTGTGCTGATGCAATAATAAATGTGGAAGAACGCAGGACAGGCAACAGTACACTTCGGGAATCAAACTCAGGACAGCCTAACGGGGCTGTAGTTTTTGTCTGTGTAATCTTTTATTTAAAACAAACTTTGGTCTTGGCGCTGTTCTATCGTGCTTGGTTTCCGAAATACAGAAACCACCATCGGTAATCGAACTCAACAGCTTTTTTCCGAGTTGTGGGTTTTGTCTGTCATATCCTCTTCAAACAAACAAATTTTATCTTCGCGATGTGCAACTGGTAAACACAACCATATTTGGCCAGTTATATTTGTATCTGAATACGTAAACGCACTTCCATTCTATATTCAAAACAAACACTAATACACCGTTCCTCATAAATACTTAAAGTAAAGTGAGTAGGCAAACTGGGCGAGTCTCACTCTTATACTTATATGTATCGGAATTGCATATTCCCCATTTACTGTTGCCTTATTAATGTACTTCTACCTGAAACCAACAAGCATCCTTTTTGTTCACAAGTGGTTCTGCCAGCACCAAAAAATGATTCAATGCACCACTCCTAAAACTGAAATAATACTGGGAAAGGTGGCATCATCTACAAAGAGAGGTTGCTTGAAAGATCTTTCAGATGTCTGCTGTTGTCTCTTGTATTTCCCCTCCCTCACTACCCAGTTATAATTATTACATAAGAATGTTTGGTCTTTGCAATAACAGGCAATTGTTTTAGCACTGTACTGAATTCACAGCTGATGTCCTGATCTTGTTGTTATCATTGTCTGTGTGGTTTTGTATGTTCCACAGGAGCAAAAGTAATGTAGCAATACCAGAAGACATAACAATGAGTAGGCTCATCAAAGGTGAAACCCTGCCTTTTCAGGAGAGCACATATAATGCTGCTGATAGATTTCTCACATATATATGCAGTTTCAAAGTTGGACCATTATTTAATACAAAACACAAGAAAATTATATATCCAAGCATTCAAAACATTAGATTCTTACTGTATTTAAACATAAAAAAGTAAACAGATATAACAGGCAACAGTACAAACTGTGAAAATGTATGTTTTAAACAAGCTTTAACACACCTTCCAACCTCACCTCCGATTTGTACTGAATCAGCAAGGCATTAAGCTTGAATAAATTTTGGTTCAAATAACTTTGTTTCAGTCAGCAAAATGGTGGAACCTTCCATTGGTTTTAATGTGGGCCACTGATTCTTCTGGTTGAATACTGCCAATAATCAGGAACTTATCAATACATTTTTAAAACTTAAGTCACTTCAGTTGTGCAGTCTGTTCTCATTCTAACACTTTACTGTTACAATGTGTAAGTCTAATATTCCATATATATTGTTATGAACTTAATGCAAGCTATATTACAGCTGAGAACAATACCAGGTGCTTTAAATAATAAACTTTTATGAGAAATACTCATCCTGTTTAAAGTGAGTTTGTGATAAAATGAGCACTGGGCAGACTAAAATGGGAGGATATAAAGATGAATCTTAGGGAGGCAGGCAGTGAGGATGGTAAATGGATGGAGTTAGCTTAAGATCAAGTCCGGTTGCAGGCTTTGGTGTCATCAGTTTTGGACCTGCAGGTTATGCTACCAGGGAGTTAGTTTTTTGTGAAAAAGGAATATGGTAAGTTCAGATAATGTGGTGTTATGTGTGAGTTAAAAAGAGGGATACAGTAGCAATGAAGGGTGAAAAGGGCCAAAGAGACTGAGATGTGGAAGGGATGTGAAAAGAAAGAAATATAGGAGAGAGAGGAGATAAAGATATAAAAGCAACAGAGGAATGGAAAAAGAGAATCAAGGATTATGGCACAAAAGATATCAATCTCCAGTGAATTTCAACGTTTTTCTACACCAGCACTTGAAAATACTTCAAAAAGTTTGATTCTACCACAGAAGATTCCCAATTTCTTGATCTCAAAATACTTGCCTGGAAATAACAGTTTTCTATCTTCTTTCTACAAATCACATATAAGTTATTAAAAAAATAATTTGATATTCTACAATCATTTATGTTCATGAAATGACATATATATAAAGTTCAAATAATTGCAGTATTTATCTTGTTTGCATAGATACACCAATACCACTTTTGGTTTATAAATTTTGTGTGCATCTACTGTGCTGTGTCAACAATTACAAGCATAAATACATTATCTTTCTGAGTACAAAAGCAGGAACAATACATATGAACAACTTTTAAAATCATATGAATACATATTAATCATACAGAAACCATACCACTTAATAAAATGTAAAATAAAGTGTACCTGGGATAAGAACAACATGAAGATGTATAATGGATATGAAGGCAAGGCTCTATGTATACTCAGGGCTTATTCAGTTTCAATTTTGGTCAATTTGGCAAAATAGGTTAGGAGATCTATGATGTGAAGCTTTTATGGTGGATGTCATTAATAAAATCTTCTTGGGCCAGCAGCAACATCACTTGGTTAAACTCTGCTGACGTTTTGAGGACCGTCTCCGTCATGACTAGCCTTGAAAATGAGGAAAGAGATGGTCCTCAAAACATTGGCAGAGTTTAATCAAGTGAAGCGGCTGCTTTTCCTGAGAAGATTTTATTGAGGTTAGGAGATCGATTCATCCCTTTAGCCATTCTCGACAATGAAATAACCAGAAGAATAAGACAGTGAGTGAACTGTGTGACAATATAATGCCATTTTTGCTCCTCCTAGACTACATAAAAATAGTACAATGCCAATTTTTATAAATACAAATGTTGGTATGTCAGTTATAAGGCATATATATTCAACATCTAAATATAATCAGTCCTAAAGGTATCAATTTAAAATCTGGCTCTGAACAAGGAATTTTTCTTGCCTTATAATGCTTCAAATTAAAGATTCATCTTACATCTTGTGTAAATAAAATGCACTGTTTATTTACAAAATCTAGGAAGAGTCACCTATCAGTGTTATTTAGTGATAACATGTAGAATATAAGTACTCATGACTCTATACAAATAAAATAAAAGTATGAGGATGTGTATCTGCTTAAATACTCATGCAAGGCTTGGCAGTACACAAGAACATTGCTTAATTCTACATTTTTAAGAAAATAAAGAAATAATAAAAAATCAATCTAGATTTTGGTCTCGAGTACATTGATTTTTTGCCTTCATGGTCATAATGAAATTTCTGAATGGTCCCTGCAGTTGTCTGTGATTAAACCACAACAACCCATATAACACAGAAACAGCAGGGTTATCTGCCTATCTAATAACAGGAATATAAACAGTAATATTCAATTGTAAGAATCATGCACTATCATTAAAACCAAACAAAAGAAAACACATGCATATCTGACCCACATACCTAAAAACTTAAGTGGGACAGAAAATTCATGCCTCTGTAAGTCTCTGGTGCTGTTAGGTTTAGTATGTCTCAAAATATCATGCCCTGAACCATTTTCTAATTATATCTTACATTTATATTCCTCAGATGAACACATCATAATTCAGTCTTCTTATGAATTCAAAATTACAGAAAAATTAACTATGTTCATTATCTGATACTCCACGTACATATAGTTAAAAGCACGGAAAAACTATCCATTTTATTCACATAATTTCAACTGCTGCAAAGTACAAATTAAAGTACTGAAGGAACTTATAACATGGCACAGCTATAATTGCTGGATACTGACAACAATTCAAAACTGCGCTTGTAAGTGATGCTGTTGCCACTAAAAACAAAGAGATATATATGAACGTTCAGTCATAGTTCCAGTATTGGAAGAGAAAGTTAATTTGTTTAACATTACTACTGTAACTGAATTCCATCTTAACCATGGAAACAATGAACTTTCATTCCTATGTACTATAATGGCTATTTTAACACTATGCACATGAGAAAATTCTCATCCTCTTCCTCAAGACACATCAATTGTTCCATACATTCTGGCAATGACTCCATTAAAGGGGTTGGAGAAAAATTAATAAATCCCTGTGCTACAGATAGGTATCATCATAATAATTACATTTATACGTTTACATAACTGTTTCATATATGAAACAGTTCACATACCAAGTTTGTTCAGCTGTCTGTGTAAGCCAGGTGCACTAAGTTTTGGTGAAATGTTGATAATAAAAACAAATACTATCTGTACCATGTAAGAGATTTTAAGGCAGAATTAATATACTGCCCTCAGCACAGAATGGTATAGAAAAATGAAGTTGTCTATTATTTTATATATCATATGAAGTACTTTCCTGCATATGAGTAACCTGATGTTTATTTTCTTTCCTTTGTTTCTGAATGATGAAGGTTCTGAGAAACGTTTCAACACTGAAAGTAGCATTATCTTCTCAATGAGGTGTAAACTCAGCCATACAAGAGCTCACCACTTGTCTCAGTTCTTGCTGTGCATAATCCTCAGGTAGAGGAAGCTGTGTCACCAGATGGGCTAACACACGTGGTGAAACACCCTTTTCCCCCTTTTGCAGAAGCAAAACATTTCGTACCACATGGACTGTACGTTTGGCAATTTCTGACTGACATAACCTGCAACAAAAGTATTCAGTAGGACTAGTCTGAATTTTCTAAAAGAGCATATTTTTGGTTAGATTTTATTTAAGGGATTTCATTTTATAGGTGGTTTCCTTGCATTGAATACATATTTTTAAAAAAAACACTCAAAGGCTGTTACTTTCAATAACGCCATTCAAACAAAGCAAAATTTATATTTTTGTTTACACAAAGTGGATTACAGTAGAATTGCATTTCTTTTACTGGAAGGCAGTGAAAGCAATTCAAAGTTTACATATTTGGATACCAATTTCACACTGACTTTAATAATGAAATAATAACATTTTAGATTTCTCTGCTTTCTAAACTTAAGAACCTCAACATGTTTGCAGCATGCAGTCTCATAACACACATAGTCATTGATATTGGTGCTATTTGTGGGGATCGGTGATTGGTTCATGTGACATCTAATTACTCTAAATCAACCACTAATGTTATTTAGAATTAAATAAGAAGAGATGATCATGTGTGGTGAAACTCAAAAATGGATTAAGGAAGTGGACATGTCCCATGTAAGGATTTTATTCCAGCTTTCACCCAGAAAGGGTTAGGAAAACCTATCACAATAGTCAATGCTGTTGCTGCTTGGGAGAAATGGGCCAATGGACAACACTGTACCAAATTATATGTTTCGTCCAATTACATAAAACAATTTTAGAAGCTGTCTAATTTAAAGTCATTTTATAGTCAAGGTATTAGGTCTCTGTTCAAATTTCAAACCAACAGAGCAACAAACACACAAAAAGCTTTCAAATGAAATTATTTCATTATTAAAAGTGTTTTACTTTGCAAAGAAGCATAATGCCACATACCTGTCCATGGCAGTGGGGCAAGGTAACATGTTTATTCGTGCACACAAACCACTCAACTGAGGCTGCAACTTTTCCAGCTGGTACCCTGCAGCAAGGTTTTGGCTGGCTAGTAACGCATCCACTTCAGCTAAAATTTTCAAATAGTCCCAAAGCAGCTGACCCCTATTATTCCACCCAGAAATTGTACTGCTCCTCTCTACAGGAGCCAATGCCTGTAGCAGTTCATGCAAATACTCATAGTTCTCTGCAACAACCAATTAAAAAGAAAGGACATCAAAATCCAAAGATTGCATAGATGGTAAAGCACCAAGGTTCATGTGATTTGACATATTTGCAATGCCACTCCAGCTGGCACCTGGCTTCAGTTTACTTTCCAAATGTTCACCTGTAAGTATGCCCCTCAGCTTCCTCCAGGCACAACTCATCACCTCACTTGTTGGTCAGGTGGGCAAATGCAATAGAAAAAACACCAATCTTGGTTCTCTCCAAACAATGTCATAATGCAAACCGAATAGCACAGAAATTATTTTAGTTTGACAAAAAAGGCACAGAATGGCTGTTTAAAAATTTTACAATACATATGTAATTTGGAAGAAAATCGTGTGTTCATTGATCAAACATCTGTCAACCACAAGGCTGCAGGATGCCCATGCCTTTTGTACAATGAGCTGTCAGGCTGAACTCAAACTGTTAATTTGAACCTTACACATGACAAAATTGTGGTTTAAGTTTACTGCAAAGTTCTCATTAATCACAAGACAGCTCCTTATTATTAAAGATACACCTTCTCTAACTGATAATGCTTACAGAAAAAATTCATTCTTTACATAGGTTCATGAAAATAAACTGATAATTGAGACAGCCCCCTGTCTGGAAAGATTTATACTATTGTTGACTCTACACAGGGAAAAAGTTATGAGCTGAATGATATATGAATGTCTTCTATCTTTTTTTGACAAGGAACAGCTAAATGCAACTGGAGCCCCAGTGAAAATATTATCTTGGTAAAACAAGAATTAATTTACATACTTAAAGTGTTACACAACTTAATGCTGTATACTTCGTACACACCCCATACAAGTTTTAATAAAAGTCACCAAGAAAATTGGCAATTACTGTAAATATGAAATTTCATAAACTAGGATAGAAAGCATCATTCTTACCATTAACTATTGCATCAGCAGCAATGTATTCCATAATTACTTCATGACTCTTGGTCCAAAGGCCAGCCTTGATCAAATAATAAGCTGCATCGTTATGCCTGTACAGAGTAGTAGGTAAATGCAAATTACAACAATTTTTTATATTGGACCTTTAAATTTAACATAATTCAAAACTTGTACATAAATATTTCCACTTTGATGTTGACATAAACTATAGGCTTTTGGTTGAGACAGAAACTACCTTGTGACTAACCGTTACATGCCAGATGATGCTTCATAAAAAATACATCAAATGGGCTACGGATCTGAACATCTAGAAGGTAACATATCACCTTCCTCCAATTCAGTGGCCTAACTTCTCAAAAATTTAATACCAAAATAATACAGTAGAACACCACCCTCAAGCATTAAATTCAACATCATAAATCTTTACAGTAACAGTTCCAAAATACTAAAAAAGGAAGATCCAAAATAATGACAGCATTCTACATATTCACATTCGCTGTAGGGTACTGCACACTCTACTACAAGATGACAATTCTCAGAGCTTAATTTCTACAACTGTGTTGACTTACTGCACCATTTGTGGAATATCTGGATAAAAGTATTTCATTCTAGAAATTGGGAGTTATCTTTAATTTTACCTGGGGAAAATACTGCAAAAATTCCTTTTGCTTACAATAATCAGCTGTTGGAATTTCAATAATGTATCTGCATTTTGTAAGCACAAAGTTTCAATTAACTTTACCTTCAAGCAGTAAAATCCTTCTTCATAAGGTAACAAGCACTCAGCTAGTCAACAAATTCCCCACCCTTCACAGAACCCATAGGCGCACAACCATGACTTACTACAACAGCCCATTAACTGACCCTACGCTCGGCCACAAAAAATTAGTCCACACTCTCAGGTACAACGATCAATTTTCATATTATCTCCCAATTTATACTTAGCTCTTTCTAGAGGTAATGTTTGTTTAAGTTTAACAATGACAATTTTGTACACATTTCTTAAAAAGCACCATGTTGAACAATAAACTACAGAATAAAGTTGTTACTTCAAGCTGCTACCAGCAAAACTAGCAACTTTACCATACTAACCTATTGCAAGCTGATGCAAGAGTTGCTTTAGCTTCAAATATACATTGGGAAGGGATATGGAGCTGTTCTAGAAGAAAATTCTCTTTGTCTTGATATGCCTGGTTATTAGACAATTCAACATGACGTCCCAGTATGTTCAACACTGCTTCTTTACGACTGAAAATCAAATTATTTAGATATTACATTGTCTAAGCTTAAGCTTTTTGTCATGTGTGGTTCACATGGACGATTCTCAAGGATTTACAAAACTCTTTTTGTTTAATGAACTTTTTAGCACATTAAATGTTTAACTGGCATATGACATGAGCCCATGTTCCACACATGTAGTGGACCATTAACAATTACAACTTAAACTTTATGTAAAAATCCACCTTAAATAACTTTTATTATTTTTCAATGAAGTTAACATAAATATTTTCTGTTTGATTTCACAGTGCACAGATGAATAAAAATAATTTGTAAACATATTTTGGCATGGCCCAGACCAATCGATGGCACAATATAGTCACTAGCACTGCATTACCCATATTCTAAATAACTGACCTTTTTTGATTTTTCAAATGAAGCAGAACAAAAATGGCCCAATGCCAAAGACCCTGGCTCTCTAACTGGGAAGCAAAACTTGTATGAACAAGTGCACTCGAGTACTCGGATATATGAGAGTAACCAACAGCATTCAGAACTTGCTGTAGCAGCCAACTGAAAACAAACAGGAATCTTATACAAAAGTCTGCAAAAATCCTTCGGTAAGTGAAATAATGAATATGAAGATGACTGTCTTTTGGATTGTTGCAACGTGTGGTCTGGTACATGTTTACCAACATTTCAGAGGTCCTTGTTGCCTCCATCATCATTGACCTCATGATGAAGGCAAAAAGCACCTATGAGGAAATGTCAGCAAACTTCTACAAAACCGCACGGCACATTAACCCAGAAGGCAGCCATCTTCATACTCACCACTGTTAGAACCTGAAATCCCTCTAAAATAAAGAATAATTGTCCTATTATTTTTTCACTCAAAATTCACATTTTAGGAGGGCCTTTATATGAAATCCACTTTAATTTAGATAAATGTTATTACACTACTTGTTCTTGCATGTAATTAAGATGAACAATTTGTTACAATGCACTGCAATCCAGTAGACTTTTGCAACTTACCTCAGTCGGTAATCCAGTGGATCTGATGTGTGGGTAGCAGGATTCAGCAAACAGTTCAATGGATGTGAGCGACTGCTATATAGTTTGAACAAGTGGAAACACAGATCCCACACTGGTTGTCCACTACTTGTTTCAGGTTCTATGCCATCCTCCATGTATGGTGGATCAGGGCAATTCGCATATACATCTTTTGAATCAGGTGATCCAAATGCTTTCTCATACTGCAGCAGAGCATCAGTAACAGATGCTACAGGAGAACACATATACCTAAACACACACAACTCAAATCAGGTTTATCCCTGCCATGTTTGACTCTCTTCATAAGAAAATGCCTTTCCTGAAACCAGAACTTCAGCTCTATTCATACATTAATAACTGTACAGTATAGTAATCTATCAACATGAAAATAAATATGTGATCATATTAATAATTTTAATATGAAATTCCCATAAGAATAAACTGACTGAAGTGGTTAATGTGTAATGGTACAAGCAACAAAGATACTAACAAGCACAAAGCCTTTATTTACACACTTTTTCAAATGCACTGAGAAACCTCAATCACATCACTCCATCAATGTTTCTTCACCATCTACAGTGAAACCTCTATCCATCGTTCCCGGAACTATTGTTTTCCCGGATGCATCGTCCGTTTTGTTCGGTCCCGAATACATCCCATATAAAATAATGTTACATTTTCCCGCTTCTATCGTTCCTCGAACTATCGTTTTATCGCATCGATCGTTCAAAAATCTTAGTCCCGGCCCACAATTTTCCCGCAATGATCGTTTCTGAGAATTTAAAATGCTGGGTTTAGAGATAAATTAATACCGAAAGACGCACAATGTTTTTGGAATACACAGTAGCGGTAACCTGTTATGTCACCCAACCAGCACATTCTTTTGGAATGAGGGTCAGCGGTGCAGGGGTGATATTGGAGTGAATGGCGGTGCTCATTGTCAGAAATTTTACGATTTTAATTAGGGTGCACTCATATTTCGTTCCAGCGATGCCAGATGGCATGTGCAGTGTGAATTTCTTCACAAATGCTTTTATTATAAGTACAAAGGAAAGGCTGGCGGCACTTTTCATTCTTCTGGTTCATCTCGTTTCCAGC